AACATAAGGTCAGATTGAGTAGTGGGAGTACAACTAGCGAAGCATCTAAGCAAAACCTGCTCAAGAAGAAACCAGTCCAGAATGGAGATAGTGGAGAGAATCAACACTCCCAAATTTGTCCCAGCCAAAAAGTATTTTAAGTGTCATTATTTTGGGAACACTCTGTTCAATTGCCCAAATAGGAGAATGATTTCATTCACTCGGCAAAGAACAATGGATACTATGGACAATGGCATAGGAGATACAGAAAAATATGATGAAGTAAAGTAGTACCAATTTCCAACTGACAAAGAAGATTTGCTAATAATCTGACAGGTTCTTCAGATAGAGCCAACATAATTCACAGATCTTGAACTCCAATCTTCAATCACCTAACTCAATCAAAATTTAATTCAAAATTCAAATTTTAAATTCAGATCTCAAGTAGTGAGACTCACTTTCTTGGGTTTAGTTAGTCGTCTCGGTTAATGTCAATATATGTTGGACTTCAGTCACATCATATTGACGGTTCAAATATTGATCTCACTTTTGACCAACTCATTTGGCCAAAACATTCATCCATCCTTCCTTGATGGGTGTTTCATGCAAAACATGGCTTCAAAGCTTGGGAGAAGCTCAATAGCAATTGAAACCCAAAAAAATCTTGAGTTGAGTAGCTACACCAGGCATGCCACTTCTGACATAGTTATGTCAATAGTGGCATAGTTATGCCGCGTATCTCCCCCCATCTTCTTCCTCTTCCTGGGGCGAATTTTATAGGCCTTTTGATCAAAATCCTAAGTTTAATCATCCTCCCTCTCTTCCTTGGCCGAAATTCCCCCTCCCTTTTTGCCTCGCAATAAAAAAAAATTGAAATTTCCCTCTCCTCTCAGGTGTAACTTCCATAACTACTCCCTCATCTCCTCATTCTCTATACCCATCGTCACTTTTCTTCCTATTACCCATCCTTACTTGGTCGAAAGCTTCCCCAACCTCTCCTTTTCTCACTACCAAAATCAAGGAGCTTCCAATAATTCCTCTTAAGATTCCATTCAAGCAAGAAAGACAGACACTAATCCTCTCTTTATCATTTAATTTATCAAGTATGAGTTTTTTTGCAAGCATGGATTTAAAGTTCTTTTCTTTGAAAATGTGATTTCAATCTCTCCTTCTCATCTTTTCCTTGGTTGTAAACCATCAAACACTCACCATTTTCTCTTCTTCTTTCCCTTTGAAAAAAGCCACCACACCTACTCACCATTTTCTCTTCTTCTGTCCCTTGGCTTAAAACTACCATACGCACTCACTCGCTTATCCTCTTCCTTCCAAAGGCCAAAAACCATAGACTCACGCTCTTCTTTCCTTTCACTTGGTCGAAAACCACACACTCACCCTCTTCCTCTCCTTCTCCCTCTAGCCAAAAATCACACACACACACACACACACACCCTCTTCCTCTCCCTTTCCCTTTCCACTTGGTCGAAAACCACAACGTTTAGGGTCTAGACATCTTGCAAAGTCCAATATAACTGCAATTATACCACATTGTTAATATACGATCCCAATCCTCTCAAATATCGAGCTATGGTGCTCTCTTAGGGCTTAACTAAGTTGCTCGAACTCAATTGTGTCCTCCTCTATTAAGAGATCTTGTTGTTGCAAGAGATGTAGTCTCACAAACATGTTTTATTTGTATTAAATTGGTAGGTGCTTGTGCTGCAACTCTCATTTCATCTTGGACCATCGAGTCAGTTTATTTTTTTCCTTCTGTTGTCGAAGATGTTGCAATTTCTCCCACAAAAGAGATGTACTTTTCTTTAACTTAATCATGGCTAACTTTATCATTTTTTTCTGATGGGGCGTACTTAAACTCAAAAACATGTTCCACTGTCTAAAGTCACTCAATGAACTTGTCGAGATTTATGTGATCATAAAAATTTGACAAGTTAATATTTAAACCAAAGCATGGACTCTTCTCTGATATTAAAAACCAAACCGTCGGGGTATTACTTTTTCGTTACTAGAAATTTTTTGGTAGAAGGGAGTCATTTCTATCTCTCGATTGAGCAAGTCACCACTATGACTATAAATAAACTCACTGGATTGTCTCCTCTCAAATGAGATAGTTAAAGAATTTTTAGTTGCAGACTCCATAATAAGTTCTTGAACATCACACTAAGGGTTTCCTCGTTGGCAGCGAGACAACTTTTCCACTCGATCAGGCTTCAGATAGATGTAGGATTGCAAATTAATGTTGGACTGAAGAATGATTTTTGGTGGTAAGTATAGGGGTGAAATTTTGGCAGAGTTAGGAAATCTGGGCTTTGAAAATTTTAGGTTTAAGGCTAGAAATTATGATAGGGATGGCTAGGATATTGGGTTGGTCGATGATTTAGGTTATGTGAAATTTTGGGTAGGCATAGAAATGCCAAATCCCTAAATATATATAGTTTTTAAACTCCAACTCAAGATACCATTCTAAGGTTCTTGTAACATATTTTGGAAGTGAATTTAGAGGGGAGGTAGTTTTGGAATAGTGAGAGAACAAAAAAATGTGAGGTCGGCGGTGTTTAGAAGAAAATAAGTGTCGTTTGGCGGCTATCCCAGATGAAAGTAGCAAAGGGAACTCTGAATCGGCGACATTAAAGAGGCGAGGAGGTTTCACCACTTATTCTCAAGTAAGATAAAGATACACCACTCAAAAAAGGAAGAAGAAACAACACTCCAAAGAGCAGAATCACACTAAAGTGCACAAATCTTAAGGAAAAAAATCTTTCAAATTCTTAAATCAACAAAAGTTAAATTCTAAATAGCCAAAACACAAAACATATAAAAGCAAAATCACACTAAAGTGCACAAATCTAAAAAAAAAGTCTTTCAAATTCTTAAAATCAACAAAAGTGAAATTCTAAATAGCCAAAACCCAAAATATATAAAAGCTCACTAATAGAGAATAAACTAAATCAGAAAAAAAGGAATCAAGGAAACAATCCGGGATCGTAGGAATTCCATAACCACGAGATCATGGGGATCCCATATCCACGAGATCTTAAGAGCCAAACCGCGAACTTCCGCGTGCGTGAAGAACACATCCCATATTAGGGAGAGACTTATTTTTGTGATCTTACTTATGCTTGTGACAATTTTATATTGATATCTTACTTTGATATTATTATGATATTTATTATTTCATATTTTTCATTAACTTAATCATTTAATTAAGAGGTTCAAGCCTCATCTCACAAAAAGAAAATTGTTTAAAATTGCCCAATTTGAAGCGTGACTTAGTGCAATTATGAAGAAAAATGCTATGAGGCGTACGCCCTGAGCAACTTGGGCGAGGCATATGCCCCACATTGTTTGAGAGGGACGCCTCACCATAAGTCCACTAAGTTGTGCGTCTCTCGTACTTAGCTTTTTTTCCCATATATTAGACGGTTTGAATGCAAACCAAAGTTGTACTCTCACATGCAAGAGCTCTCCTCACCCAATTAAGGTGCATCTTTCATTGAAGCGTGCACATCCCATGCTTAGTTACTTTTCCCCATATATTAGACAGTTCGAATACAAACGGAATAAATACTCTCACATGCAAAAACTCCCATCTCCACAATCAAGCTTCCAAGTATCGCCACCGTCAATTGTTTGTTGCCATCGCCACCAACTGCTACCACTGACGCCTTTGTTCGTCTAGTTTTTTATTATTTATTATGTTTTTACCTAGATCTATGCATGGTAGTATGTTAGGTGGACAATAAAAGGAGATATTTGTTATGCTAAACTATCTTATGTCATTGTCATTTTATGTTACTTTCATTTCATGTTTTATATTAATTTGATGACTCAATCAGTTGATGTTTAGAATATATATTTTTTTGTGCGAGTTGTTACATGATATTTTGCCTACGTATATTTTAATATCATACAAACATAATTAGTCAATTTTATCATGCTAGAACATTAATGTTTGTTTTTAATATAGATATGAGTTATGATACATATATATATTATTTTTATCCCATTATTTTGACTTGCTCAGTTTTCAAACAGTGAGACTTACACCTAGTCAATACCCAATTGTGAATTTTAAACAATTGGAAAGAAAATATCTATATACCCAATTGCACAATTTCAAACCTTGATTTCATGATATATTGCAACTTCAAAATGAATGTTGCACTGCAAACAAACTTTTAGGGAGGTTTCTTTATAAACCAAAATGAGGTTAAGAACTATAAAAGTTGGGGCCTTTTTATCAATCATTATTTCTTCTTTCTTCGTGTTGGACCACTAGAATTTCAGCCGAGTAATGCTTCATCGAAATTAAAAAAAAAAAAAAAATGCTTCACATCAACATAAGCATGTGACTTAAGTCATAAAGACATTTAAAGTTCCGAGATACTAGCATATATTTTTATCTTAAGCATTTGTAATATAAGAAATAAATGCAGAATGTAGTTATGGTGAAACAAGGAAGACTTAAATAGGCAGTAGTTAATAATTCAATCAAATAAAAAACATGCTAGCGAGAATATAAGAACAACTATTGCCATATGATCAAAGCCTGAAAAAGTCCAGTTAACGTAACAAGCACTTACGCCAAAGTTCTATGACAAATGAATGCACAAAACAGATGATTTGTTGCCATGTACAAAACCTTGATAAACAAATGAAAAAAAGATGGTGAATTCATAAAATAAGTTATGGTGAATTCATAAAATAAGAAGAATGTAGTTATGGTGAAACAAGGAAGACTTAAATAGGCAGTAGTTAATAATTCAATCAAATAAAAAACATGCTAGCGAGCATATAAGAACAGCTATTGCCATATGATCAAAGCCTGAAAAAGTCCAGTTAACGTAACAAGCACTTACGCCAAAGTTCTATGACAAATGAATGCACAAAACAGATGATTTTTTGCCATGTACAAAACCTTGATAAACAAATGAAAAGAAGATGGTGAATTCATAAAATAAGTAAATTCATTCAAATAGAGTTAAAATACACATGATGATGCATACCACTAATGCCAAAAAATTCTTTCTAGGCGGTCGTCTTCTGACCCTAAGAACACATGGTATCCGGGCATCATATCCTCCAAATAAGCCTTGGCTGGTATCAACCAAACAAGGTGCCCTAACCTTGGATTTAAGGGAGTATCGGTAATCTATATCATCTTTACCCAAAGAAGCTATTCTTCCACTACATTGCATGACCTCTACTTCAGAATGCTCTTCAATGTATCGTTTTGTAGGCCTTCTAATCCTTTTGGTGCCACATTGCACCGTTTGAGCATTGAAATTGTCCTCATTGCATTTCTCGAGCGATTTATCAAGCTCCTGTGTAGATGATGCTTGTTGCTTCTCAATATGGGTGGATGTATCATTCAAGGTTTCCTCCAAAGTCTCATTTAGTGGATCAGTGGATTCGTTCATCGCCATAAAAACAGGAGAAGACAAGTTGCTCTGAGTGCCGCTTGCTATCTTTTCTTTCACATCACTGAGAACTATTTTGTTGTCCTTGATAATGAAATTTGTGGATGGAATATCACAAGAGTTTGTTAATCCCATTGCAATGCGTCGCTTAAGCCACAATTTATCGTCGATAGAAGTATGCCTCCCAAAGGTGGCTCTGAAAGCCTCTTGAAGCTCTCTGACTGAGAAATTATCCAGACAGATCTCTCCCTCCAGCAAAGAAAAATCAGGCTTCAAACTTGAATAATTTTCAGAGCAAGATACTTCAGACACTTCATTTACTGCTTTCTTTCCGTTTTCTGAGCAAGCTTCAGTAGATTGGTTTCTAGCAAAGGCATCATATATACTTGAATGGATAAAAGGAGCCTCGGCATCCATCTGTTCAAAAAATCAATTTGGAAAAAAATAAAATAAAAAAAAAAAATCTATTTGCAACTTGACATCTATACAGTATAAGGGATTAGGGACAACGTAAAGACAGGAGAATAAATAGTTATTTCAGTAGAAGGAAGTTCATAGTTTCAGCATGCACATTTTTCATATAATCTGAGAATAATAACAAGCAGAATAAAATGTGCCCTATTGGCCCGATATGGTTTTACATAAAAGGTGCTATTTGGATGCGGGAAATTTTGAGTGATGGAATGAAAGAGGATTTAAATCTCAAGGAAGTGGCTGCAGATTCATAAAGAAACAACGAATTCACATATGTTATTTCATTCCGTTCATCAACCTTCAATCCAAATAAAGCCAAAAATGTTCTAAGAACTGTTGACCTCATTTTTGTGAGGTATTCTCTTCTCCTCCTTAGAGCCTAGGATCTAGTTCTAGGAGTTCTTATTGACCGCCTTAGAAAACTAGAATTGAGACTCACCCTTTTAGAAAACTCTAGCCAATTCAAATTTTCCTTTGATGTCTAGCATCTTTGGCACAAGACCATCGTCTTATGAAGGAGCGGTTATGGGTTATTTTGCGAAGATTCAAGGGAAATGTTCCAAATAGAACTTCAAGCCTTAGGAAGACATCGTCACGACTCTTTTTCGTCACATACACACATCAACGGCCAAAAGTTCACAGAATTGCACGAAATCGGACTTCAATTAAGCCCAAGGGACGGGTGAAAATGTGAACATCTCCAAATGACCTCCAACGACAAAATGGACTGCGCCAACGCGTCCGGGATACCAATTTTGGTAGGAAAGGACACCCATATTGCCATACTTTCGACACAAGAAAATTGGCACGCAAATCGATGAATTCGTCAGAACGATTTTCGACGGCGAAACAAATCGCGTCAATGCGTCCGGAGCATCAAAATTACCTAAAAGGAACATCCAATTTGCAATGATTTCACACGAATTAAAATGTGCAAATCAAATTTTTACTTTAAAAATTAAATATTTTCATACTTATAAATTTTTTTTTACTTTAAAAATTAAATATTTTCATATGTATATTTCTTATTATATAATATTTATAAAACCTAAACTCTATTCAAGCATTTTTTTTTCTTTTCTTCTTTCCCTTCTTCGACCGAGAGCAGCTCGGGCCTGCCCTAACTCCCGCGACTCCTCTTCTAGACAGGGATCGGTCAAATTTCTTCCCTCACACGCGGCATTGCTCTGCCATTCACGCACGCGGCTCGTCTCTTCGAGCTCTGCTCGACCGAGCGGTCCCCCAACTGCGATGTTCCACCTGGCCGGCTCTTCCTCTGCCCTAGGCCGCATTTCCTCCGCTCTAAATGCATTTCTTCTCTTCCTTTACCTGATTCGGCTACCAGGGAGGTTGGTAGGTGGCTTCTCCTTTCTCCTTTCTTTGCTATAGAACCCCAGTTGGGGGAAGGTTGAGGGTTGGCCGAAATTTTTGAGAGTTGGGAGGTGTTGTCAAAATCTCTTCTAATTTCATTCTTACCTTTTCTTCCCATCCTCTGTGGCTTGGGGGTTGTTGAAAAATTTTGAAAGGGAAAGGGAGAGTTCTTGAAGGAAGAAAGCTTGAATTTGTTTCTGCTGTTATAAAAAATATTTTCTCTGTTTCGCGGTTCGAAGACATTCGCAGGATGTCATTTCTGAGGCTTTTAGGAAGAAGAGTGTTGCCGGATCTCCATTTGACCCACTTTGGTTGCCTCGGATCGCTGCCGAGCCCCCCTTTCTTGCTCTTCCTTGGCTGGCCGAAAATTGAAAAGGAAGGGGGAAGTGCTGTCATTTTCCTTTTTTGGATTTCCTGGTTGTTTCTTCTTAAGTGGCTTGGTATTCTTGGGGTGATGTTTTTTTCTCGTTCTTCTCTTAAAAAAAATTCAAGCAAGGTATCCCTTCCTCCCTTAGAGAAAGATATGTGGTGAAACTTGTAGCTTGCACATAGAAT